GGAGTGATATAACCTATGCAAAAAGGATTTGAAAATTATAAAAACTGTATATGCAATTTAATACACACTCAAAACAGGAACAAGCTTCATATTGCTATATTTTAACACTTTTGCCTCCAAGGCTAGTGTCTGAATTAGTCTATAAACGAAGGATTTCTTATTTTACTTCAGACAGTACATATCACTGTCACAGGTGTGGTTTTATAGTTTCAAGCACATATATAACAGGCAGTATTTTTCCACATGAGCGAAAGGAGTGAGATGCCAATTTAATAGTGTAATCTTACTTGGGGAACATGTTGTCAGCCATACATATTCAAAAGCAGAGATCAGGTTCAGCTTAGTTTCCCTGAAGATGCTGAAGGGTGTTATGCCACTGAGCTATATCCAAAAGAGGAGGAAAACCCACTAGCCAGCAACTCTTTTACTGAGAAGAAACAAAGCTAATAGAGGAGCAGCGGAACCCATTACCGCATTTCTACTTTTGCAACCACAGCTAAGCTCTTAAAGATGGTGGAGGCAGTTGCCTCCATAGGAGGAGCTGAAAGACCGCGAGAGGAACTAGTGACTTTGGATTATTATTTTGCAGACTCAACATTTGTCCCAACATCACCTGTACAGATAGAGCCTGCTTTACCTTTCTCTTGTCTAAAATGTATCTGAAAGCACAAAGGGTTTGTAGGTGTTTTTTAGTACTGTCAGACAGGAATTAGCTTCTTTTATATGGCTTCTTCAGGAGACTTCAGTTTTTATGTGCATAGGGAAAACACATAATAGTAGAAGCAGTTACTCTGTTAGATACAGGAGCGGTAAAAAGACAAAAATTATGCTAAAGCTCTTCTGTTTTGCAAGATATCTTTCCCTGTTTGAGTTTTACTGGATTCAGAATAGTTATCATAAGAATATTAAGGGTTAAAAGATAAGTGATTTTTGAGTTTCTGCTCTACTCTTCCATTCCATAATAGGTATTCCCTCCAAAATATTGTGCTCGACACACCTTGAATTCTTGCTTTAGTCATCTTCTCCAGCAGGTCGTTCCACAAGATAATCTTTTAGGATTAAGAAGTAAGACAGACAAAATTTTAAAATTTAGCCCTTTCACAAAGTTAAAAAAAAAAAAAAAGAAAAAAAGAAAAAGGTGGGACAAAAAAATTCCAAAACTGTCTGAATTTATGCTCCAACTTTTTTTAACCCTTTATCCAAAACATTTTGTATTCTGAAGTACAAAACAATAATAATAGTATTTAAATCACAATTTATACTTCTTTCATGCTAATTACTCTAAACTATTATGGTAAAATCTGAGCTGGGCACACAGGCTAGCCACCTCTTACTTAGGCCTAGACTTCTGCAAACATTGGTTTATAACACACAAATAATTTCTGCGTCAAGTGAAGTTATTCTTATGTTTTTCCAGTAGAAGAGCCAGCAGAAGGGCAAAAATCTTATCCGTTTCTTGCTGAAAAAGCAAAGGATTGGGCTTGCAAAAAAAAAAAAAAAGCCTAAAAAACCAACAACCAAACCCAAACAAAAATAACCCCAAAAACCCAAACCAAACCAAACAAAAAAAGCAAACAAAACCCCAACCAAACAAAAAACCCCAAACCAAATAAAAAAGCCCCACCTTCCCTTGCCAACACAACTGCTAATCTGCTAATCAAAGAGCTGAGTACAGATTACTTTGATATTCTGCATAGGATAAGGTGGAAGGCTAAAAATGTAAAACAGAAGTAGAGAAATGATGGTTGTACATTGGTCTGACAGTAGGCACAGTCATGCCTGCTGTCCTGAATCCTTCAATTGACCATTACTTTATAAACAGACAAAAATAAACCCCTCCACAATCACACACACCATGCCACTACAAAAACCTTGGGCTGCCACAGTGTACACACACTAACCCAGGATAAAGGAGTATACTGGGGACAAGCTACATTCCTTTGCATAACTTTAGAAAGTTTACTACTACACCGTTAATGTGGCTCTATGTATGTGCAAATACATAGCAAATTCAATCCAGGTAACCTCATACGCTCTTAACTTTTAAAATTTTGTTTTTAAAACAACTCCTTTACTTTAATAGCTTACACTCCCGAGACAGGATTTCTGTCTTGCAAGTCAATCTATGAAAATTGTTTCAAGTGCTTCAGAGCTTCTGGATAGTATGACCAAGTATTTGCAGAACTTCAGAATTACATTGCTGATGTTAAATAACATGGGGTTATAGGCTGTTATCTACTCTATAATGTCAAATGCTTTACATTGCAGTTCCTGAATCAATGAAAGTAGTGTATCTGCTTGGCTCAGACAATTCAGGAAAACATTGATTTATACCTAGATAGGAATCAGCTAGGCTTCAGAAGTCTTTTGGTGCAGGAAAGTATATTTGCATCTTGGAATGAAGAGGCATTTCCTAATGCATACATTTAGATTGGAGTGGAGGTGGGGGGTCATCAAGCTTTTTGGTTTGTTGATCTACCTATGTACCTACATTATGACTAAACCCTCATGAATTCCAGACCAAATTAATAGGATTGTGTTATTAAGTACCTAACAGAGGCTATACTATCATAAATACATTTCTCCAAAGAAAGGAAAAAACCACAAATAACTCAGCTTTTGGATTCCAGAAGTCTGATGTTATTAGTTTGCAGGAACACAAAAATTCTTTCAGCCTCAGATGTGGATTCCTTTACACACTGTTATACTTCTAAATTAAGCATGAGAGAATGTTATAATGATATTGTTTGTCTTCTGGGATACAAACTAATCATGATCATATTTACAACCAAACATTTCTATAAGCACTTCAGAAAGCTCAAATTAATAATGCTGTATTAGTGAAACAAGCTAATGAACTAAGTTTGAATATATATATCCAGCAGAGGAGGCTAGATCTGAATACAAAACTGATCTGATAAGACTGTTTTGAGAGAGAAATATATTTTAAATTATAGCAGAGGCATAAAAATGGAAAAGTCTGATAGGGTTAACCTGAAGAAAATAAATTTTCAGAGGTTTTTCAACATTTAGAGAATGCAAAAAAAACTCGTGGGAGTTGGGCAGATTTTGAGAGGGAAAATGTTTTGGTTTAGATGGAAATATGAAGTTGCCCTGAAAAGAAAGATAGAACAATCATATAAGATTATTTTCTCTATGTTGCTAATGTGGTTGGGCTCAGAAAACCCAAGCTGATGTGATGTGTTTGGCATTTTCTGCTCCCCCACAGTGAAATCCCCAAGTCTGCTGTAAGGCCAACCTAAGAAACACAACTGAGTAGAAAGTATTTTTCTCAAATAATTTAGAGTACAAGCAATTAAGATTTTCACCCCCTTGCCCCTCTCCTATACAGACACTCCATTCTCACTCTCTTATTAATTAATGTGTTGGTTTTACAGTTGTTTAACACTCTGTTCATCTGACCAAGAGAAGATGACAGACCACTGTCGTTAACACAGGGGCCTATGCACAAGCCAGGTACTGCTCACAAGTGCCAACTCCACTGAACTTCATCTCATCTGTAAGCAACTCAAGGGTGTTAGCACAAAGGATGTGACCTAATTAAAAACAAAAAATTGGGGGAGAACATAGAAGATAGGAAGGAAAACAGTTTGTCACATTGAAGTAGCTCATCTGGAAGTCTGCTTATCTAGAGCTTCTAAGTCCCACAGATTCCTGCGATGCCCAATTTTTATCTTGGGAATTGATTCAGAGATGACACAAGAAATCAGAATACTTTCCTATGGAATCTTCATTCATTATGTGATTATAAATGGATATAGACCAAACAGAATGTGCGTATGCGGAGTCATCAGATGTAAGTTTTTTCCCCTCCGTTATCCAGCATGGCTTCTCCTTGAAAGATGCTCATTGTGGCACTTCTCTTGAACAGTGAATACACAATCACATGTCTAAAGGCATCAAGATATTCTGTCTTGTATGGACCTTTAAGACCATCAGAAATAACATAACTGCTCTGTATTGTAACATTTGAAATTAAATTTTACATTTTCTTAAGAAAAAAACCTCTGAACCAATTCATCCAGGTAACATGCCCTGTCTATGCCTGGCATTACAGATGAAAAGCTGTCAGGTAAAAGGACCCATTGAAGAAATTATCCTTTTAGTCACCAGGTTATAGCAGCACCAAGATTCCCAGTAAAGAGATACAGGACCTAAGGGATGCCTATAATGCTGAAAGGCCCAGATGTGAGTCACCTGTTTTTTTAGCCTCTTTGAACAAACATGGAAAACTCTCTCTCATTTCTGTTAATGAATATTCAAGATGCACACACCTGTGAGGCCACGGAGGTCTTGCTTCCATTTAGCAAGTCTCTTAAAGCTCTTGAAGGGGAGAGAGGATTAAGAGCTAACTTTTCATTACCTAAATCATGCGCAAGTCAGTATAAGCAAACACTGGGGCATGGGATTTATCTAATTAATTGAGGACATTCACATCTGAGCTAGTCATGCTAGGTGGATGGAGATCCGATCAGGATACTCAGTGAAGTTTAAAATATGGTTCATACCCCAACAGAAATCCAAAATTTGGGGTTTTTTGTTAGAGACTTTTTGTCGTTTGTTTTTTAAAGATGTGATTTACTTGACCTGTTTCTTTTCAATGACTAGGATTACAGATTTAACAATACTCATCTAGAGTCAGGTGAAGCAAGTTCTACATTAAGTGTTTACGATACAGTGATTCCAATTTACTCAGATGCATAGCTTACTGTTAATCCACTGAAGCATGAGTTAACACCACCTTACAGGCTCATTACCTAGATATCCAACCATACACTTGTAAGCACAGGTCCCAGAGAAAATTCAAAATGGAACCTAACAAAAAGAGGGCTGCTCTGGGAGGAACAAGTCCTTGATTCTGCTCACTGTTCCTGGGGTCTCCTACATTTTACATTTAAATGTTACTGAGTGAAATCCATGACGCAGCCCTGGGAGCAGGGATGAGGTCCAGCCCACCTCTCTCCCTCTTCCTCTGGGAATCCCAGTGCTCAACATGTAAAATCTAACCTTTTCTTTTCCCTTTCCCTAGCAAAAGTGATCTGGATTGTTTTCAACAACAGAAGATGGAGAGTCACCGTCCCACCATTTGAAGCCATTTGCTCCAGGTTTGAATTCACATGGACTGCAGAAGGCCTAGCATGTAGAGTTCTCGCTATTTTTACTGGTGCTCAAACCAATAGATGCTGGCATCCATAACTATGGTTTTCTATTGTATGGTATTGTACACCTCTGAGCAACTTTCCATTTACCATCTGGGACCTCTGTATCAGCATCTCAACTGCCTGCACAACTAGTAAAGACTAGTATTCACGTTACTTGGCAGTTCCCATCTCTCTCTCTTGTTTATACAGGGAGATGAGCAGAAAGAGTAATTTTTAGCAAACTTTTAAAGCGCTGCAATACCTACTTTAAGGGTCAAATTCTGACCACCAATTTTAGGCTCCAGCTATTATCTGTAGGGAATTTATGAACAAAACTTGGAATTAAAGAAATTTGTAGTATTGGTGTTATCTTGCTCCTGGGGCCAAAGGACAGTCCCATAGTAACACAGTATGCTGGAAATATTACTTAGCTAAGAATCTAAAGAAGCCCATAAGAGCTGAAGGCACTAGTATGTGGTCATATGCGTCCAAGACATGCTCTGTTGCTCACAACAGCAAGCCAGAGAAACTCTGTTTCAAAGCACTGGTATTTCCCTCCCAATACATTTACCAAAGCATTTAAAATCTAGGATTGTCTTAAGGATTTGGACCTCTTCACTACGACATGAATTAACTTCTTGAGCTATTTGATAAAAGAGGAAAAATATGAAGAATGCTAAAAGGTGGAAAGATGCACTAGCCGTAGCGATTTCCTCTGGCATATAGGAGGTAAAGCAGATTATTTTGTAACACTGAAAAGCCATGCAAACACCAGTCTGGAAGAGGCGTGGAGGGATCTAACTTTCTAGAAAATGAGAGTCTGCAGCAAGCAAGAAATAGATCATCCTTTGTCCACAGCTGGGAAACAGGTGACCCTTGGAGCAAGTTTTTTTAAACATTACTCACTGCTGTAACATGATGCTGACATATATGATGTGGAGTACTACAGATAGCAAAGTCATGAAATAAGAAAGGTGAGAAACAAGACTTATGTCACAAGGTTTGGAACATAAAGACGCCTTTCCCCCCGCTCCTGAAGCCTTGTTGAGTGTTGAATCCAGGAAACAACGAATAATTTAGAAGCCTGAAAAGGGAACATCAAGGAGTCCCAGACGCCAAGGTATGTTATCACCCATAGGAAAATAGAGAATGCAGTGATATATGAGCAAATGAAGCAGGAGTTATGGCTTTTATTTGAACAGAGTCCCAAACATTGTTCTTTTATACCACTAGCACACATCTGGGGAAACTGTCTTCACATTATTATTGGCTAATTTTGGAAGCTGGTTGAGTCTGCCTGGGATCACCATGTGCCTCTTACTTGGGTATATAGTATAAGTAATAATGGTAGGAGGAATGTCATGAAGGCACACAGAACATTTTGGTCAGTCAGCATGAGTTAAGATCTTGGAAAAGATTATTTGGTTTACAGGATGCTATACTTCCAATAGTTTTAAGCCAGAAGAGCCAAGTATCTTTGAAAGGTGTATGGAGTCTATATAGTTTCTAGGTAAAAGGGAAACTGTATTAGGAGAAAAATATTAGTTTTGCCATCTTAGAAAGGGAGGGATTATATAGGGGACAAAGTTAAGAAACCCGCCAAGAAAAAAAAAAAAAAAAAATCTCTTATGTTTTAGGTGCTGGTATTCCACAGAGAGGTATTTCAGAAAGAGCAGGGTGGGGAAAACACACAATGAAGACAGAGCCACCCCTTAGTAATGACTCTTCTGGGCATTTCTGCAGAAGATGCAGGAGGTAAGTTAATTGCTATTTAGCTTTGAGAGAATGCTAAATCTTAATCAATTCTTATTCCTTACTGACTACACATCTGCTTGGAAGTATTTCTTGTTCAATAATGGCTCAAAAAGGAAGCAGGAGAGAAGTGAGGAAACCACTGAATTGCAAAACATCAGCACTTCACTCCTTTCACCTTGTGACTTCTTGGTAGGAATAAGAACATGACACTTTCATCAGATGAAACATCAAAGTTGCAAAACCATAACCAATGCTGAAGAGGAGACCCAACTGAATGGGAGAAAGAAGAGCAAGTGTGAAGCAAGTTTCTATTCACATTCTTGAAGACTTCACTGAGGTAGAAGCTGCCTCTGAGCAGCAAGAGCAATAGCAATGGGTTCATGCACAGGCTGCAGTCACAAGAAATCACCACTTTCATAGTCCAGGATGACAAGAGGAGCAGGAGCATGAAATTACCTTCAGTGGTTTATCATTTGCTCAGTACTGTTGACCACAGATGAGCAAACTGAACATTGGTCTACACGATGTAAAGAAGAAAATGAAAGTTGTATCAGAATTACTCAGATGTAAATAACCCAGTGATTCTCTTAAGATTTATGATTATTGTAATAGATTCAACAAAAATTGGCTCTACTTCCATTGGCATAACCCTAAATGCCCACCTGTGACCTTGTGACCTTCCATCTCAGAGATGGAAGATGTCCAAAATCCACACTTTCAAGAAGGTCCATATCTTGATACTTTGTCCTCAAGACCTAAGAGTTGTACCAGGACACTGAAGATGTAGTGGCCGTATTGCACGGTCACAAGCCAACAGGACTCTCTGCTCCAGCCCAGACTTCATAAAAGCAGCTCTTGTCTGACAGAAGGGAGATGATGAAAGCTGACTGCTCTCTTGGATATAGATGTCTCTTACTGGAAGAAGGTTACAAGATATATTTACCTAAGATAGAAGTAAATTTTACCTTCCTTAAAAATTTTTAAAAAAAGAGAAAAAAGGAGACCATTACAGAGATCTGCTTGAAGTTGTATATCAGTTTCCATAAAACTAAATACCTTAATGAGCAAACTTCCTTTTAAAACAAAATCTAAATGCATTTTTGAAGATTAAAACACTCACCAGAAGTTTAGATACTGTTTCAAACAGTCCAGTATTTGTCAAATTTGTTCTTTGAAAATAATGAAGACATTGCAATGTAAAATAGATGGAAAGGTCTCTAAAATTGTCAGCTTCATATCACTCCATGATAATAGGCACATTGATGCCTTAAAAATGTGTTAAATTTAATGTTATATTTATTCCTGAACCTGTTGAGTTTTTCAATATATGCTCTGATCATAGGCTTGACTATGTTTTCCCACCCATCTTCTTAGAACATAAATCACTTTTGTTTTCTTAAACACCTAACATGGATGTTAACAGAAAGCCTTCTAAAACATTTGCACTTAGAACCGAGGCAATCTGCAGGTTGTAACAACAGAAAAACAACACACGTTAATATGTATCTATTTATAAACACATGTAAAACGCATGCTCCAGTTAGCAACAGGAACGAAAAAACCCGCCCACCTCAGGTGAATCCTGTTACAATCTGAAGGACTACGGTAGGTTTTCCCTTCTTTACAATCCCACATTCATACACAATCCAAACTCCTATAGACCTCAGTAAGAAATCTGCATATGCAAGCACGGAAGCAGGAGGGACCTTACGGTTTAACGACCAGCAGCGAATAGAACCTTCAACTTCACAACAAGCAAACAATGGACTAGTTGCACAATAAATGTGTGCCAAAGCCTTCCATATTGCATCTAAAAATCACTTAAAACCCTTTCATCTGCAGCCACTGTAAAATCATTTGGGGGGTGGGGCCGAAAAATCTCATTACTGAAGAAAACTGGTCTCTAGGTACAGGATTGAAAAAAAAAAAAAAAATCTGCTTCATTACACAAACCAGCGAAAGGGTGAGGTCATGCCTGTTTTGGGCCGTAGTTCCTGCAACACCACGATTTTTTCAGAGATGGAATTTAATCATCTTTCTAACTAATCCACGGTTACTTTTGATAGAGAGAAAAGGCAAAGATACAATAGAGCACACCGCGCCCCACCTTCCCCGGCCCCCCGCA